AGTGGAAAATGGAATAACATGCAAGAAAGGTCTATCAAGGATAGAGTTATCTTTCATTGGTTAAAACTCTAGACAAGGAAAATATTATGGATCTTACAAGACTTCAGCAGAGTATCTTCTAGGATCCCATGTAGAAACCTGTCAGCCTGGAGAAAACAGAGATTAGGTAAGAAATGTGAGATACCTATGGAGTATATTCCAAAGTTGAACTTCAGCCTCATATTTCAGACCTGAATTTGTGTCTTAGCCTTCCAAAAGCACAATGTGTTTCCCTCTGGGGTGTCACACCAGAGCTTTGTTGTGATTTCAGGCGGTTTGAAAGAACAAAGAGCTATGCCCTTGATTCTTGTGTCTGTCCACCCAACCGTGTTATAAAACCCTTTCTATAAGTGAATCAAATTTATAAGATTAGCATTTCTTTTAAGAAGCTGTTCCAGTATCTCATTGCTGTGATGGAAAAAGCATTCTCCTATTTTTCAGCCTAAACTTGTTCAGTTTCCTTGTAGTTGGTCTACCACAGACAACATCCCATTGCTTGATTGATTCCTCTCCCTTGCCCACATGTGTAGACAGCAATGCTCTTCTGTCTCTCCTAAGCAAAACAAATTCTTTCTGTTTCTTTGCAGATAGATGTGGGCTCTCCCTGCTTGTGCTCTGTGTTCACAGAAGACAGGTCAGTTCTGAGTCAGAAGCTGTGTACCTGTACCTTTGGGCAGCCTGGTACTGTAGCTAAGAAGCCAAACCTGCTTCAGCGGGAAGCGGTATTGTGCTGATGTGACTATACAGCTTTTGGATCAGGGCTGGCTTGGATCACATCCTTCATCTGTCTGCAAAAGACAGGTGAACATGTTTGGCTGGCAGGGTGAATTCTGTTCAGGGATATTGGTTCAGATGTCTTTCTCAAGGCAGTGTTGCAGAGATCTGTATTTCCCTCAACTCCATAGGTATAATGTGTACTGGCTGATTAAAGGATTTCTAAAAAATACTAAAAGCAAGAAGTTTGTATTCCCTTGATGGGAATGCCACTATTAAAAGATACGCAAAATGCTTTCTTTTCTAGCAGAAAGCAGGACATAGGTGCAACAAGCAAAGCACCTCAACAGGATGGTAGACTTCTGCATACCGACTGCAGTACAAAGATTTCTACATAGCCTCTCTTCTCTAGCCTAAGCTATGTACCAGTTTTAATTCTTTATTTTACACAATATTTTTCCTTCTTTCACCTCAAAAGTGGTGACACTAAAATAAAAAACAGGCATACTGTGTCATTAGAAGGCAGATATTCTGAACAAATCTTATCTCCTGAGATTTCAGTATGTCCTCGGGCATTACACTGGGTAACTCGAAATCATTTTGCAAAGGTAAATTAAATGGGTTTAGCAGCTTAGCATGTGAATGTCTTAAGGCCAAGTGGTGTGAAATATTGAAACAGATTTGTCAAAAAAGAACAAGTTCCTTTGGATTCTTCTGTATGTCTGGGGGTGAAACTGGCTCCAGGGATGTAGTTAGGTACGCTGATACAGAAAACTCTGATTGTTACTGACTTGCATAGAAGAACAGTGAACTACTGCTTGAAGATAATGTCAGGGGGTTAACATTGTGCTTTCATGCCTTCATGTCGATGATCTCAAAAGTGACATCTCCCTGGCTGGCATTGCATTTCTGCATTGCACCAAATGCTGCATCTACCTTTACAACTGTGATTTCAGACTGATGTGGCAGCCTCCATGGGTCCTGGCTGCTGTGCTGTGTGCAGTCAGCACCTGGCTACCGCTAAGGGAGCTATTTATAATTAATGTTAGTTGACTACCTGAAAACCTTTAGATGACCACAGATCATACTCTCCAGAATGACTGTGTTGATTCACCTCTGTGCTTTGGAGAATATGGAAAAAATACAAAAAAAGAGACCTTAGAACTGGCTTGTATCCTTTTACTGTGGGGGTAGCTCTGGAACAATCCTTTAAGGAGAAGAGGAAAGGAGTTTCATGGTCTTTGTAAGGCTAATGATGGAAAAATTTATCCCTTTGCCTAAATTTCAATCTTTCAAAGGATCCTCCTTTGGAAAATCTATAAGGAAGATGTACGGCACTGCATGAGGAAGCTGTTAAAATTTAGTGTGGATGAGACATCCTTTCCAACTTCATCTCTAATAACTCATTGCAAATATTAGCACTGGTAGCACAAATGTGAATTGCTGAGTCCAGACTGTGAAGTTCATTCATAGACTTCAGAAGTAATATAGTGATGAAAGCAGTGCAAATCCCTAGGAAGATTCAAAGTATTTTAAATTTGTATTTATCTCTTGGGTTTTGGTTCAGGTCTGTCTAATACTAACACAATGACAGATAACTATTTCTTAACAATAGCAGGTATTTCACAGTGCAGTCTATATTGTTCAAAGTCACCTGAAGTGTAAGTTCTTAACTGTAAATATTTAAAGCCCATTTCTGCTTCTGAAGACATTTGTTGCAGTCAAGCAAGTTCATTATTTAATGCCTTATGTGATCTACAATTTGGCACAATGGTGAATACCAGAATAAGAAAATGGCAAGATTGTGTACTCTATCTCAACACTTTTGAGTTTTCAGAGTTAGAGAGAAGTGAAATCTAGAATATGCTAAAAGACAATGAAACTTCAGGTGCTTCAAGTACATTTAGCTGTATTGTACCCATTTGAACAAATAGCAGAAGGCAGCAGGACTCAAGTGGCTGGACATACAGTTGAAAAGAAAAATAACATTGGTAGTTACACCTGTTAACATATTAAAAATTTTTTTTTTTTGTTCTTATATGTTATAGCATAAGCTTATTTGTAGCTGGGGTCAAAAACAAGTCTTCTTGCCTTTGTAATAACGCACACTTGGAGTGTATATGAGGTTATGCCTCTCAGAAAGATCAGATGTTATCTATCATCAGGAGAGGCAGGCAGGAAGACCATCACTGCGTTTTGGCAAAGTAATTCCTATGGACCTGGTAAGGGTATTCATATTCTGTTTCTATGTACCCTGTGCACCGTGTATGAGTAAAAACTTTAGTAATGAGCCCTGCTTTCATAATGAGCCCTGTACAATGATGTAAGATAGAGTGGCTTGCTACTGTGAGAAGTTACTTAGGTTATTGGCAGGCTGCTTTCTTCTTCCTTTTCCTTCAGGGTTTAATTTAGGAGCGTGAGTGATTATAGTATAAAAAAAAAATTACCCACCTGGGAACTAAGTCATATTATCAATGTCCACTAATGACTACAGCAACTCGATAGAGTTAGCCTGTAAGCTGAAAAGGAAGCAGAGCTGGAAAAAAGCTAGTCAGGCTTTACTGGCTAATTATGTTAGTAAGAGTTCATATTTTGGATAGGCACTTTTTATTAGTGTTCTGAACTACTTTTGCCCTGAAGGTAAGCAAGAAAGGGAACATCCTTTAAAGATGTTTCAGTTTTCAGCTGCTTGGCAGGTTCACTAGTGGCATAAGCCAGCTTGTCTTTTCAGGGTGTTTCCTTGTAAAATGAAGAGAACTTGGATGGCTTTCATGTGCTAGAAGAAAGCTCTAGATGGAGCAGAAGAAAAAAGTATTTTGAGTTAACTGTGACTTGCCTGTTGCTGAATACAGGAAAAGACTATTTGAACTGTTAAGAAAAACAATGGTAAATATCTGATTATTGAACCTTCTGCCTGTGCCTCTGGAGGTTGTCTTCTATGTGTCCCAACTTCCCTTCTGCCCCTGATCTTTATTTTACCTTATTCCCCCTAAAAGGATGTGAAAAAAGAATTCAGATCTCTTGGGGTCTGTCTAAGTTGGTGCAGGCACCCTAGTTTGTAACTTCAGTACAGAGATACTCCAGTTGTATAGGAGACAGACTGAGCCTAGGATGCTGCAGAAGTCTGCAGCTGTACTGTAGCTACGTTGCTTCCAGAACTTAGCTAAGAAGTTTGCAGGGAGCTAAGCCCTTTGGACTTAGATCTCTGTGCATGTCCCTTGTTGAATGCTGTAGGTCTGCTCTCAGACACAATGCATGCACGACAATCAAATCACTGTAAGTGTAGGTAGATCACTGTCTCGCTGATTGTCACCTAAAGACCTTTATGGGATAGGCAGAAATGTTTAAGAGATGGGCTTTCAAAGCTTATTACTTTTGATTATACCTGAACAAAAATTGCTGGCCTTGGTCTTTCAGAAATGCTGTTGTGGAAAAGTGAATGAATAGGAATTTATAATGAGGATCCCTTAATCACTATATGAGGAGTGGTGAGAATAAGTAGAGAGGTAGGGAGTATAGAGAAAAGTTATTAAGGAATTAGTCTTTAAAAGCTGCTTGCTAATGAGAAGCATCCTAATAATCATAATAGAGAAACATCAGAGCATGAAATGC